GGCATGTTGTCAGCAAGGACGGCGTTCTACCTGATCCTGGAAAACTCCGTGCTGTCGCCCAGTTTCCGAAGCCATCGACACTTAAGGAACTCCGGAGCTTTATCGGCTTATGTTCATACTTTCGCCGATTTGTCCGTAATTTTGCATCTGTCATGGCCCCTTAAACACGGCTACTTTCTGACACCGAGGGCATTTCGGCGTGGTCTTCCAATTGCGATAAGGCATTCGCGAAACTACGTCAATTGCTGACATCTCCACCGATTCTCCGTCACTTTGATCCTGATGCCCCTACAGAAATACACACCGACGCAAGTGGAGTCGGACTTGGCGCTATTCTTGCTCAACGCAAGTCTGGATACGACGAGTACGTCGTTTCTTATGCCAGTCGCACTCTTACTAGGGCTGAACAGAATTATTCAGTCACAGAAAAAGAATGTCTAGCCATCGTCTGGGCAATCACAAAATTTCGACCCTACGTCTATGGCCGTCCATTTGACGTCGTGACTGATCACCACGCCCTCTGCTGGTTATCGTCACTAAAAGACCCATCTGGCCGTCTCGCTCGTTGGGCGTTACGCCTCCAAGACTATGATATCCGTGTCGTCTACAGGTCAGGCCGCAAACATTCAGATGCCGACGCTCTCTCCCGCTCTCCACTTCCCCATGAACACGGAAGTACTTCTGTATCCAGCCTCGATGCTGTGGCACTTTCGTACGCGGACATGCCCTATGAACAGCGCCAAGACGCTTGGATAGCCTCTATGATAGAGTTACTGTCTCAGCCGTCCCAAGTTACGCCCAATCGTTCACTGCAGCGCACAGCTCGACACTTTACCATCCGCGATGGACTCCTGTACCGTCGCAACTACCTTTCTGACGGCCGCAAGTGGTTGCTTGTGATTCCTCGCCACCTACGTGCCGACATTTGCGACTCTTTTCACGCGGATCCTCAATGCGGCCACGCCGGTGTGATAAAAACGTATGCACGTCTCCGGCTGCGGTACTATTGGCGCGGAATGTACCGCTTTGTCCGACAGTACGTGCGTTCGTGCTCCAAATGTCAACGCCGAAAAAGCCCACCACACATAGCCAATGGACAACTGCAGCCGTTGCCTTGCCCCTCCCGCCCTTTCGACCGCATCGGAATTGACTTGTACGGTCCCCTTCCCTATACGCCTAACGGGAACCGCTGGGTGATTGTCGCCATTGATCACTTGACACGCTATGCTGAAACTGCTGCGCTGCCAGAGGCCACATCACGTGAAGTTGGCTTATTTATCCTTCACAATCTCATTCTACGCCATGGCGCGCCTCGTGAGCTACTCAGTGACCGCGGCCGTACGTTCCTCTCCGAAGCGGTACAAGCCCTTCTTCGCGAATGCAACGTTGTGCATCGGACAACCAGCGCATACCATCCGCAAACGAATGGAATGACCGAACGGTTTAACCGCTCACTGGGCGACATGCTATCCATGTACGTGTCCGCTGATCACACCAACTGGGACCGCATACTGCCCTTTGTAACTTACGCTTACAACAGCGCCACTCAGTCTACGACAGGATTCTCTCCGTTCTTCCTCCTTTACGGGCGCGAACCTTCCTCATTCATGGACACCATTCTCTTGTATCATCCAGACGCTTCGGAATCCACAACTCTATCTGAAGTCGCCACCTATGCAGAAGAATGCAGGCAACTCGCGCGTTCCTTAACCGCCCAAGATCAAGCGTACCAGAAGAACCGTCACGACGAAAACCTGTCTTCGCAGTCATACTCGCCTGGCGCCTTGGTATGGCTTCGGGTTCCCTCATCTGTTCCTGGTCTTTCCACCAAGCTACTGCCGAAGTACGAAGGCCCCTACCGAGTCCTACGTCAGGCCTCACCGGTTAACTATATTGTTGAGCCGGTTCAACCATCAACAGACCGACGGCATCGAGGCCGCGAGACTGTTCACGTAGATCGATTGAAGCCGCACTACGACCCACCCGTCGTACCCGTTCCATAGGTCGCCAGGATGGCTCCTTTTCTGAGGGGGGAGTGATTTGTAGCATTGATATTTGGCACAGGCCGGAACGCCAGCTGAAGAAGAGAAGGAAGAGTGTTGTTGCTGCTCGCGCTCGCTCCGCTTGACAGCTGGTCGGTTCTACCGCTACGTTTTCCACAAAGTAAACGTCTCTTCTGCTCACCACTAAAGGTGTACTATCAATATATATATATATATATATATATATATATATATATACCGATGGCTCCGCGAACCGCCAGTAAGAGGTGCTCCCATCAGCTTTAGGACTGACCACTTCACGGCATCTACAGCAGCGGAACTAGCTGCTTTGCGCGCTGCAATCGGGAACCACCGCAACTATGCTCAATTTTCAGCGACTCAAGGGCTGCCCTACAATCTGTGCTCTCAGCTCTGCGTCGCGGGCCGTATGAACAGCTTGTTTTCGAAATTCGATGCCTTCTCCACACTTCGCATGAGGAAGGGCCTCATGTGACGTTTCAGTGGCTGTTAAGTCACTGTGGCGTCATAGCGAACGAACATGCTGATACTGCCGCGCGGGCAGCTCTTGAAGGAACACGAGAAGAAGCAATACTACTTTCGCGGACCGATGCTGCCAGTAATCTTCGGCGACTTGCGCGTGAAATCATGTTTTCACTATGGTGCTCACCGAGCAACGAGACGAATCGTCCACACCACCTCTCTTCTTTGATGGCTCTCCGCATGCCCACTGGTCTCGACCGAAGAGAAGCCACCCTTCTTCATCGCTCATGGCTAGGAGTGGCATTTACAAAATCTTATTTCTTTGTCGTATAAATGGCCGACAACGGTCTCTGCGATGCCTGTCATTGCGAAGAGACGTTACACTACATCCTGTGCGACTGTCCGTTGTATGGCATCCAGAGACAGTCACTGGCGTCCGTTTTTGCGTGCATCGACAACAGCCAAATGACTGTGGACACTACTCTGTCAAGTGCCCGAGAATAGACATTGCAACAGAAGGCGACAAAAGCTATGTTGAAATTCCTACGTGACACGGACTTGAACAAGCGGCTGTAACAGCAATGTCACACATCGCGAAAGACAAGATTGGACTATGACTGAGTGTGCGCGCGTGTTCTGCCGAATGTGCTGTGTTTATTTCTCTTCCCTCTCGGCTCTCTATCTTTCATCTCCCTCATCCCCCTCGCATGCGCAGGGTAGGAAACCGGCTGCCTATAGGCTGGTTAACCTCCCGCCATTCTTTTCCTCCTAGTTTCCTTCCTTGGGACACTGTCGTGTGTTAGGTTCGTCACATAGCAAGGCGTGTGACGCGAGGAAGATGGAGACAGTGAGGAAAACAAACGGGAGTTACATTGGATGAACAAAAAAAAAACTATTGCGCGTACAGTACTGTAAGTCGTACACGCGCGTGGTTCACACACAAAAGAAAAGAGTAACCAGTCTCACAGTCTGTGCCGTAGCCCGATGCCTTGAAGTGGGACCCGTTGCGTGCTCGGATGCAGTCGTCGCTTGGGTGCCAGGTCAGCATACCACTGTCTATATCACCAGGTCTAGGCGTAGCCGCACACTGTCAGCGACGCCGGCTCGGTAGACGTGGTCAGCAGCTCCGGTCTTTCGAGGGCGCTCGCCGTACCAGAGATGTCCACAGGACCACTCACCGAGAACTCGTGCTGGCCACGCCGCCACACCGTGCCCCGAGGACGTCAATGGCTCGAGGACAGGAACCCGGCCTTTCGAACCTCGCGCGTAGTTGCGGGTTCGCCCTAGGCTCCCTTGCGTCGTCTTGCCGGCGTCCGAACGGCTTCGTTCTCCGCGAGCGTCTCCTCTTCTTTTTTTAATGGGCGCGCTGCAATGCCCCTTCATTCTTCTCATCTTCTAAATGATGTGGTGCTGTCGTCTGCTAGGCTCGCATTTTTAAGGTACTACATCACAGACACATACAAATTTGGGATACATGCTAAAACATTGGATTGCTGCCACCTCTGTTCTAAAAAAACAACTTTCCTTTCTTTACTTTACTGCAAGATGGCGCCACATCTCAAGCAGCACTGTCCACTGCTGACCTTGTCTTGCCCCAATCCATACATACTATCCAAGATACATCCCGACACATACGCACCACAGCGCAGGTTCTGCGTCACTAAAACAGCCACCCTGTACCACATGGTTTGAGAATGCCCTAACAATCCACCTCTACAACCCAGAGCCCAGCACAACACTGTAGGGTGGGAGGGAGCTCTGTCCAGCTCGAATCCAAAGACTCAAGAGGCCCTCGTGAGACCAGTGAGGACAGCGCTCCGTGCCAATGAGATCCCGGACTAAAGATCCCATTCACCGACATTGCTTCCTCGGTCGCAAATAAATGCTTAATTGTCTCTCCACTAATAGAAGATCGTATTTTGACGTCCTTTGCAGAGAAACACATAGATACGCGACCGCTTGTTTTTCTTTGCCATGGAATTCAGCATGCCGAAAGTGAGAGTGAGAATGGCGAAAGAAACAGCCGGAAGGATGGTAGAAACCCATTTAGTAGCTTTTAATTGTCGCGATGACGAGATAATTGCGCAAGTGGTATGACTTTTTCCAATTCGAGGTATCTCTCCTGCAGAACACGGGCTTGCTGTTTCGGCGTTAATACTTGAGTTCATTTAGTTTAGCGGGCTTACTTGTTGAATTTGTTACCTTGAATTTTTCTTTGTTTTATAAAGTCCTCATTCATGCACTTCGCCCATTCGACGTTTAAGTAATGACATGTCACGGCACGTCTGCATTGACATTAATTTTTGAATTTGAAGGCTGTTTTGCACTCACCGCTAGGCGCTGAGGCAGGCGGAATAAGACAGAGATAGATCTGTCTCTTCTTCTAAGCTGCACTGAAGCAATGTAGTCTCTTGTACCTATTGATGGGTTGCAAACAACGCCTAGTAAAACAGCATCTCGGCCTCATGACAGAGAAGAATCACTGAAGAAGAGTGCCTGTTATGCTGGTGTTCTCACCTGTCTTGTCCATGTCGGCAATCCGATCTTCGACGCTCCAGCAGTTGGACTCGATGCGCCTAAAGAAGCGCCCGTCATCGTAGCTGAGCACGGCAGTCTTGTCACTCTCGTGTTTGATCTCAATCCAGCCGCCATATCCATAACGCTGCGCAGAATACAAGCGAGAAACAACGTAGGTACTTCTCTGAGTGTGTACGCATGGAGAAAAATGCCATGTTGTTTACGTAATACGTATTTAATGCATCTACCAAGTTTACTGCTACGACCTTCTAAAATGAATGGGACTTGTTCCATTTCAATTTTAAGAATAAACAGGAGAAAAATAACTAAGGTTAACTTGGCACGGGATCTGTTTGCTATCATACTTAGGAGTAACACGGTGAAGGATGAAGAGAGAGGGAAACAGGGAGAAAGGGGCTTGCACCCACTGTAAAAGACTTGCGGATGGCCATCACGGCAGGAACATTTCTATCCATGCAGTGAGCTAAAGACTACGCGTGTATTACTCTAATGATTAACATAGAATTCATATTAGAGCTGCGATAACTCGCTAGTGTTGTGTAAGTGCGACTAATTTCAATTTATCAACTCTAAAAATGTTGGGAATGTGAATAAGATGCATTTCCATCCGGCAGCATCGAAAATGCTTGGCTCGCTCGGCTCGCGCTGCTGATCGCTGCTGTTCCCCTGGGTGGTTCTCCACGCTGCCTCACTACTGACAACTATTCGTAACTTTCACTGCCTAAAGAGGGCGCTAAGTCGAAACTAGCTATCATTTGGGGAATCGTGCAGCCAATACCATATAGCGTGTCCGTCACTTCGAAATGTGTAGTCTTTTCGGTGGCATCCACTGGGCTGTGAAGACTTTTCTTAGGTCATCGAGTCTAGTGCATGCTATGTCTTACACTGGGTGTTGAGAAACGCGTGTGCGGTATAATATTGAACAAAGTCGGAACGCTCGGCACATCGTTTGCAGAGTCGAGAAGGAATGCACGTACTACAGCCTTGTGAACAATACCCAAGTATTGTGCCCACCGACTTGCCGACATAGCCACACGAGCCAGGGTTTTAATTCAGGAGCGACTAAGCGATGAAGGTGTAATATACAGGCTTACTTACTTTCTTAAAGCGGGGGAAGGGGGGTCATCTTACTGACGGTGCATGTGTGACCCGCACCTATGGAAGTGCAGTTACTTTTATTTACGCGCAGGTAGTATAAAAACACTTGTGCCTCACCTGGCGCGAACACTGCGCATGAATGTAGCGCTTGCTGCTGATGCGTGTGGCACACAGTTGTTCCATAGGTGTCATGCTGCTGCACTCTTCAGAGCCTTAGTGCGTCCAAGGCTCGACGTACGGAAGCAAAAATAGACGCTCCTATTTTGACGTATGCATTTTCGCGTCTATGACGCTTACGAAAGAAGCAGTTGTGCTACTAAGAGCGCAGTCGCTCACTCGACGTCGGTGTTCTAACACTATTATCGCTTCGCACGGCAGAAACTATACGCTGCTTTAATGTGCTTGTAAACAAAAGGCACATGGTCGATTGTAGTTGCGTGCTGAAGCGTAGTCAATGAAGTAGCAGAGCACGTGGCAAAGTTTGCGGCATGTTTGGAAACTGATTACATCACCATAGATAATTTCAAATCAAACCTATATTTTCATCATGTGTGGTTTTCCTGACAAAGGACCACAAAAAAAATCTACAGAAAGGATGCTTTAATAATCACTGTCAGCCACCCCACGTAACGGTTCGCGCAAGTGTACAGCAATAAAAGCCAGTTCATAGGCAAATGAAAATATGTGATCAAAGCAGAAGAAAAGTAAAACCCAACAGTCCACAAAAAACATTTTGGTGAAAAACATATTTGATGGAAAGTGCTTGTTCACTTCTACACACATGCGTGTGGTGAGTGGGTGCATACATTGGAGGGGGTGAGAGGAGGGGGCTAGTAACTTAAGAATGAAGTCCAAGGTCTACTGGATACATATATATAATAAATGGATGGAGGCGCTTCCACGAGTCTTCGCCGCCACCTCGTGGCCAGGCTAGACTACACCCTTGCGCTAGCCCAGCCATGTCCACCTGAAGCCCTGCGCGTGCCTGTGCTTCGACTGCAATACAGCGAGTACATATATTTATTTTCTGTCTCTCTATTTTGCAGCTCTTGCAAAGCAGAAAACCTCACCTTTGACAGCACGGCGTGTGCGCAGTGGCACCCAGCACTTGCTGCAATTCTTGAACAGTAAAAAAAAGTAAATCCTTGTTGTATAATTTGCAGTAGCTGTCGGAATTCGGTAGTTGACAAGTGAATTCAGAGAAGCCGTCGTACAAATCGCCAGCGACTGAATACTAAGCCCCATCGAATCCCCAAAGCAAGGCCGACTGAACGCCGGCATGGGCTGTCTGCGTGGGCATCCCCCAAATGGCAGTTATGACGGCTACCGCATGACGGCGCTACCAACTGTGAAAGTTGCGAATAACGTGCTCGCACAACCAATATACCTCTTCACATTTGGTGCACGGTGCTGTTCATCACCATTGCTACACCCAGGAGCTGCGAAGTTGCAACCTTCCGCCCGTCAAGGGTGATGACGCCAACTCACAGGTGCCTTCGCCCCAGTCTGTCACATGCCCCATGCCTCCTCTGCTACGGGACCCGAAGGCCTTCAGCGGTGCCGACATCGAAGACTGGCCGGACCGCTACCAACTGGTGAGAGCGAATAATAAATTGAATGACCCCGACAAGCTCGGACACGTCATGTTTTGTCTCACTGGCATCGCCAAATTGTAGCACAGCCCCAAACAAAACATTCCTATATCTGGAGCGTCTCCAAGACATCCTCCTCTGAAGTGTTTCGTCGCCCAGTTCTCCACAAGCATAGCGCTGGACAGCGCTTGCACGTCCGCTCACAGTAGACTGGAGAAAGCTTGACTAGCCATATTGCGGACGTCGTCGTAATTTGTAGACGTGCCAATAACACCATGCCCGAATCTGACACACTCAAGCAAGTCCTGAAGTGCATTGATGACAGCGCATTTCAAATGCTCTTAGCTAGTAATAAGAGCACTGTTTAAGAAGTCGTCTGATTGTGTCAGAGCTACGACGACTTGAAGAAGCAATGCGTCTTGACTCGTCGGCTTCCACAGGGGGACGAGTCACTGTCCAGTCTTGATACCGTGCACGACGATTCCGCGTTGTCTCAGCAAGTCCGAGACCTTGTCTGGGAGGAAGTTGCCCGCCAGCTTTCTTTGCTACCATATACTCACAAGCCCACGTCCCTTCTATCCGCCACGCTTCGCACTGTCGGTAGCGTGAAGGTTGCCCACGCCGTTCCTCATGCGCACCACGAGCAGCCTCCAGCCACACCTGTCAACTAGTCGCCTGCCGTCCAGTCTGAGGCCGCTCCTGTCACCTGTCCGCAACCCCCGCAGTCTGTGGCTACACCCCTCACGTATGCGCAAGCCATGCGTAGGCTTCAAGCAGCCTCCGTACACCAGGTACTCACAGTCTGCGTAGCCACACGTCTATACTGCATCTAGGGGAGCACCACCAGTCAACCATATTTGACGGACGCCTAATAATTGATCCTTTTTTTTATGCCTGCTATATCGCCAGATACATCGCCTGCCATTGCCGCAGTCACTCTCAAACATTCAGAAGTGGTGCCCGGTGGTCGCAATGTGGCTGTCAGCCTATCTCCAATACGCTCCTGGCCCTTCACCGCAGTGTGCCCTAGCTAACCAGCCTGACTTCCAGCCGCAACGCTCCACCAATAGGTAGCCGGACCAGGGGCAATATTCACAGAACTCACTTACGAAAAAAACTTTGCGCAATAGAAATATTGTTGCGTAGTACAATTCACGAAACGAAAGAAAAAAGCGTCGTAAGAGGCCATCATTGTCACATCGGCCGCGGCAACAAAGCGTGCTGCGACTGTCCGGGAACATGTCAGCGATGGTGATGCAGTTGCTATATTTGCTTACGTCACCGAAAAGCGCTCGTTAGTGGATTCACGAAGCAAAATTTCGCTTAAAAACAGCCTGGCTAGTAGAAAATCTCTCGAGTGGTACGGACCACTTTTAAGAACAATGTGGCTACTTAGAACCTGCCGCCGGGGCGGATACTTTGGCGCCCTGGCTAATTTTGAGTTAATTCACGCCGATGTAGGGCTGCCTGATGACTGCTGACGCATTCTTATTTATTTAGGCGCTTTGAGTTTCGTGTGTTGTTCCCCGGTACGCAGTGGATGGTATTGACAAGCACCGTCGAGCAATAAGTTCAAAGTGGCAGTAACTGAAGAATCCTATTAGGCGTCAATATCGTCAAATTATGCATGCAAAGATTTGTGGTTGGATGAAAACCATCGTGCTACTTGAATGGTCGGTAAATTCAAACGAGACATGGCAAATGATCAATCTAATTTGTTATGTTGTTGTGTTGCACCCCACCTCATCCAAATAAAAGCAATCTCGACACCCTTGCCTTATTGGTGGAAATTACCACCAAAGATGTTAATAGGAGCACATTCCTTGCACGCTATTGGAAATAAAAATGAGCGGAGCTTTTCAGTTAGTGGTTCATAAAGCCTATTATGTGGTTGAGCGCTAGTGTACTTCAACTGGCTCTAATTGTTCAATGGGCACGATCGCTGAAATACAGCTGTCGATACACTTTGGGACGATCTGGAATGGGCGCGTACTTTGTGAACTAAAGCATGTTAGGGGTGTTCACTCAACATCAGTTCACTCCGTGATGTTGCCACAACACTTCTTTTATCTGGCACGCCTGTCGTGTTCATCATGTCACCCCCCTCGCACATAAGAGCAAATTTTGTCACGCTGTGAAAAATGCGCATGTACTAAGAGCTCTCTGATGTGCTGCGCAGTTGTCGAAAACAACATTGCATCGTAAACAGCATATCGGTCGGTGCGAATTTTAACAAACGCCTCTCACTTGAGTTTTTTCAGCGTTCGACAGGATGTGTTGCGATCCCCGCTGCTTTTTCGATGTGAGTAAGCGGTTGAAAACCCGTGGCAATGTATCGGTGTACGGTGACGCGTATGAAGCCTGTGCCTCGGTGTGTTTACCAAGTGAGATCGGAACCTGTGCATCAACGACAACTAGAACTCGAGAAGGTTGC